TTCACCTCACCTCACCTTTTCAACACTGCAGATTTGATTTACGTCACTTTTACAGGGGTGGAAATAACCCATTGCCCGATGTCCGAGTTCAGTGTTTTTTTCTGTTGGGCAAGCAAATTTGTATATCACGCTGTACCGGTGTCCAGTTGACTTTCCAACGTTAATTATGTTGTTTATTTAAAAAATCAACAAGAAAATTGTCCTGTATAGTGGAAACATTATCAGGGCAAGTGATTTTACATGTGCCACTGTACTGGAGTACACAAGCAATTTTAAAGTTATTTCCACCCCTGTTACACCACGTAAAGTTCAGTCATTGGTCAGAGTTAAAGGGGCTTTTAACATCATATTACAAAATCCTAGTTGCAGATTATTGGAAAAAGCTATTTATTTATTAGATAAAAAAAACAGTTCTGACTTTCAACCTTAGAAAATTTGAAAATTGCAATATTGGTCAGACTTGATATTGATGATTTATAATTAATTAGTAAGAAAAGAAATCATTCTTAGAGTACTAATATTGTCTTAAATTGCTTAAAGTTTCAGGATTTTTCTTCCAATACTTTAGAAAATGATCATGAGGATAGATTTCATTTCCAAAAGCAGAAATACAACAACAGAAAAAAGAAAAAAAGACGTATGAAAAGAGACATGTTTCAATAGTTTGTCAAACACATTAAATTCTTTTTTACACTTGCAAAAGTTGGGACATATTTATTTCTGAATCAAGAAACCAATTGATCTGGCCTGATATGTTTCCTGGTATATCTGTTGCAATGAAACTGGTCTGATTTAATGTCAAGGTCATTTCGTGTCAAGTTGGTTGCTACTTTAAATACCTGAGTATTTGTGAGTGAGTTTAGTTTTACGCCGCTTATAGCAATATTCCAGCAATATCACAGTTTCACACTTTGTACCCATGTGGGGTATCGAACCCGGGTCGTCGGCGTGACGAGCGAATGCTTTCACCACTAGGCTACCCCACCACCCCGAGTATTGATGACGTTTCATTAAAATTGGTATGTAGCTCTGAGTGTGGCCCTGCTTTGAACTCATTGAAAAGTTGGGTTTTTTTGGTCAAAATACATCAGAGGGCAAGGTCATGATTAGTGTTTTTGTAATGTTCTTTTATCATTATCAGTTTCTTAGGCATTGTTGCCATGGTTAATACCTCTACAAACGTGATACTTTATTTTGCATATCTTACCAGCTGAAGTTTTTATATCTGGTCTGTTAAACATGTCAAAGGTCAAGACCATGTGATATTCTGAAATATTGTTTCATCATTCAATGTTAGCTACAGTTGCACTGTTTTCAAAGGCTGTTACGATTCACTCGCATATTCGGTGAATCGAACCGTAGCCCTTCATGAATTCAATTCGTTATTCGTGGTCACCAGAACCGAATATTAATGAATATTTGCGAAGTTTTTAAGGTAGTGTGTTTTACTTGAACCATTATGTCCTCTTTCAAAGTGAGATATGCAAGAATGGAATATGTACTAGCCTTGTAGTACTAGTAGCGCACGTTTGGTTAGTTTGCCTGTAGGTCGCACATGGTACTGTTGACTAACTATTACATACCAAATTTGAGTGTCATGAGATCACTGGTTATTGCTGTGACAAATTAACACTATCAACATGGGCGTTCCACTTTGTACATCAATCACTTAACTACAATATTGTATTCATGAATAATTATTCGTTTACCCACTATTCGTGATACGTATCATATTCGCCAAATAGTGTATTCGTTACAGCCCTACTGTTTTCTGAGCCAAGTTTCTAAGTTGCCAGTTGTATATGCCATTAAACATGAACAGCAATAACTATTGGATTTACCTGGAGTCAAGTGATGATTAACCAGGAAAGTAGCCCAATGGGAACAGCTGAAAGTTTGGCCAAGGATAACATTTCCTGGGAAAGTTTTGGTCTGGTATACAGGGCTTCAACAAAAGTATTCCGTTAACTTTTTCCACTCAAGAAGAATTGACTCCATGTTGACATGGAGAAATAAGTGAATATAAACAATCCATAAATCGTGTCACCTGATATTTAGTTAAGTGTATAGATCATCTGGCACAAATGTTAAGAGTATGGCTTGTAGCATGTGACGACTTGTAGGTACAAGAAACAATCAATACTATGGTGTGACAGACTCTTGTGGAACTTGTAACCAGGGCAGACGGCTTCCTGTGTACTTGTACAAGGGCACTGTAGAACACTACATTCTTGAATATCATGAGATGCCACATATTTCTGTACCAAAGTCAACATACTAAGTTGTTACGAATAGGGGTGGGTATTGCAGAGAATATTCATATTGCGATATATTTCGATGCGAAAGCATGTATTGTGATATGCATTGCAATATATTGCATGAAGTATTTTTAAACAAAAAACTACTTATAATCGAGTTACTGCTTGATTTATAGAGCAAAAACACAACAAAATCACTATGCTTGATTAAGCTTTAATAACAAATTTTAATCATGATAAAATAAAAATGTGAATAATATTTGGCACAAACGAAACAAGGAAATATCCGAAGATTTCCGATTGTTACGACGTTTTCCGAATGCATGTCAAAATACCGGTTTTCGATCAGCGTATCGCAATACGTATCGTTTTCATGTCTGAACCGGTAAATACCGGTAAACCGGTTATATTGCGCAGCCCTAGTTACAAACATAACCAAATAACCGCTATGACATGTCTTCTGCCTCGTTTCACAAAATGTATTTCTGTAATGGTCAAAAGGATTGCGACCGCCTCCGTGGTGTGGTTAGAGCGTCCGCCCGGAGTGCAGAAGGTCGTGGGTTCGATCCCCGACTGCGTCATACCAAAAGACGTTAAAGATGATAGTTGTTGGTCCCTGCCTGGCGTCTCGGCATTAATGGGTACAACAAGGACTGGTCAGCTCGGAGTCAGTATAATGTGTCTGAGTGGGGTATTCATGCTTAACTGCGGCATGGTATCTCAGTGAGTTAGCACTATAAAACCAGTTTAAGTCTGGGCTTATACAAGCAGCCACACATACCAGTACACACGAATGCACGTAGTCATATGAGCAAAATATTCTTAAATGGGATCTTAAATCCCATTTCACCTCACCTCGCCGAAGGATTGCAAACAACTGAATTTTATAGAAAGGTAAATCGACGGCTTCCACTGTTCACTGATGTCATTTGGGATGTTTTGTGTAAATTTCTCTCTGTTAATTTAAAAAAAACCTGAATGCTTTTATGGATGATCCTTCTCTCATATGGTAAGTTTTGTTGGCAGTGTAAGCACCTTACAATACATGGATGTATTCAAATGTTGTATTTATATATTTATGACAACATATTGTTCACAGGTATATGGCTACATGTCAGCATAACTCACGGACATTTTGTCATGCTTCATGCTTTGGCTCTGCTGGCATGTTTATATTGTAAACCTGTCGTATTTGTCATGCTGAAAGCTTGTGTAGTCAAAGAGTTTACAGTACAGAAAGTCTTGAAGGCTCCGCAAGCTTGTCTCACAAGTGACTGCATCGTCATGGTAACAGCATCCTATGTAAATGTTTCTGTTGATTGCATGAAACCTGAATCAAGTGATTCCGCAGAGAACGGTCATCTACCTAGGTATCTTCCTTGCTTGGGATGTTTTGCTACTCATTCCTGTTCATTGACTGGCTTCTACTATGCAGTTATTTCCAAATAAAAAAGAAATGGAAGTGATTCCAGAGCATTTGATTGGCCAACCAAATTAATTTTTTGTTCATTCATGTTTCAATAAACCAAAAAACATCATGCCTATCCCACCAATAGAATACTGTTTCCGGACAGACTGACAACAAAATGAGAATGGTTTTCGTTGCATTATTGCACCAAGTTCGTTTTGTGGTCTACAGATTTTTGTGATAAATATGTCTGTGAACTTATTATTAGGGGTGGACGATAATACCTGTGATTTTCGTGATGTAGTCAAAAATGCAATTAACATTTGTATATCCTATATTAGTATACACTAATAGATTTTTGGTGACTTTTAAACCATACAAATAGAAAAATATAGATTGGTACAGGCACTATTGTAGAGATAAACAATTTGGAAACATTTTCAATTGATCTCTTGTACAATCACATCTGAGTCCTGACAGTGGCCAGTGGCATTGTTTCAAAAGAAAGGAAACAGTATTTTCATTACCTTAAACCATGTGTTACACTTTCACAATATATTGCAATACATATTTCAATACGCCAACACATATCACGATATATCGCAATACGAAAATTTTGGCAATACCCAACCCTAATTATTTTTGATATATTTATTGAAACATTCTGACCTGTAGCATGCACTATGCTGGGCAGATTTACACAGAACACACAACACAATGTTTATGCCTCCTTAAACATGAATAATGCTGAAATTAGATGTTACAAAGGAACCATACAGGGTTTTCACATGATGCAAGGAATCCAACATTTTTGCCAGGATTTTCATCAAAGTTGTCCTCATCTTGTTTTTTGATCACTTATATATGATGCAGCATTGATTTCACACATTTTCAGTCATTACTAGTTAAAAAGGACCGTAACCATGGTAACAGAAATTGTATATGTATTAATTGAAAATTGTTTCAATAAACAGAGTGATTTAATATGAGATCAAAGAGATCCAGTGTCACATGTCAAGATATGTTGAAACTGCTCTCATTCAGAATACTTTCTTGTCCATCAGCAGCAATAAGGCTTAAATGGATTTTCTGACATTTAATTGGTTGACTAAGAAGGTCAGAATCGCTGTAATAGGGCCTGATTGAAACATACAATCAGTTTCAGCTGATATCACATCCAGGTATGTAATACTAGTAGTTTGTTTGTCATATAATGAGTATTGAAATGTGCATTTTATTGATCAATGTTAAATTTGTCATTACTCAGCATAACATTGATTGTTATTTACTAGAAGAGGACATGTTATGAACATACTCCTGGGATCTAATTGCAGGTCCCTTAGATGAAGAGTTCACCTTCGAAACGCCTGGAAAGAGAAGAAAGAGTACAGGTGAGCTTATAGTAACATATATCTCCATAGCAACAGTGGATTTGTGGCAATTAATATGAGATTAGTGCCTTGACATTTTGATATCTTGTCTTTGTTGTTTCCCCGCTGCTAGTTGCGTTGTTCAGACTTGATGATGTATTGGCCACATCACAGAAATGGTCCAAACTGGTCCAGACTTGATGATGTACTGGCCACATCACATAACTGATCCAAACTGGCCCAGACTTGATGATGTATTGGCCACATCACATAACTGGTCAAAACTGGTCCAGACTTGATGATGTACTGGATACATCACATAACTGGTCCAAACTGGTCCAGATTTGATGATGTACTGGATACATCACATAACTGGTCCACACAGGTCCATATGTCGACTTGATGATGTACTGGCTACATCACATGACTGGTCCAGATTTGATGACGTATTTGCAAAATCGCATAACTGGTCCACACAGGTCCAGACGTCGACTTGATGATGTACTGGCTACATCACATAGCTGGTCCAAACTGGTCCAGACTTGATTATGTATTGGCTACTTCACACAACTGGTCCAGACTTCATAATGTATTTGCAAAATCGCATAATTGGTCCACACAGGTCCAGACGTCTACTTGATGATGTACTGGCTACATCACATAGCTGGTCCAAACTGGTCCAAACTGGCCCAGACTTGATGTTTTGGCCACATCACATAACTGGTCCAAACTGGTCCAGACTTGATGATGTATTGGCCACATCACATAACTGGTCCAAACTGGTCCAGACTTGATGATGTACTGGCTACATCACATGACTGGTCCAAACTGGTCCAGACTTGATGATGTACTGGCTACATCACATGACTGGTCCAAACTTGTCCAGACTTGATGATGTACGTGATACATCACATGACTGGTCCAAACTTGTCCAGACTTGATGATGTACTGGATACATCACTTGACTGGTCCAAACTGGTCCAGATTTGATGATGTACTGGATACATCACATAACTGGTCCACACAGGTCCATACGTCGACTTGATGATGTACTGGCTACATCACATGACTGGTCCAAACTGGTCCAGATTTGATGACGTATTTGCAAAATCGCATAACTGGTCCACACAGGTCCAGACGTCGACTTGATAATGTACTGGCTACATCACATAGCTGGTCCAAACTGGTCCAGACTTGATGTTTTGGCCACATCACATAACTGGTCCAAACTGGTCCAGACTTGATGATGTATTGGCTACATCACATAACTGGTCCAAACTTGTTGAGGCTTGATGAACTTACCTCATCTTGAATATTGCATACATTGATTGCTGTCAGGACGATATTTATTGATCAAATTCTAGTGAGTGAGTAATGTGGGTTTAATACCATGTTGAACAGTGTCCTAGTTAAATGACATGTCAGCTGCTGCTGGAGCAAAGGAAGAAATTTTATGGTTCTTGCATTTTGCCAGTTTGATAAAACCCACTCACATGGTTAACAAACCTACTCACATAATCAGTGCGAACCGGGGATTTGAATCAATTAACGGTTGCTGGGTGTGGCCAAGGGATACTCCTCTCCACAGCGACATCACCATCGACGACAGATCCACCCATGCCCCCTGAACCTGGCAATGGTGTTATATGTGTGTAATTTTTGTCCTAGATTCATCAGACTCTCAGTCATCTACAAAGAAAGATGGATTGTCCAAATCTCCAAAATCACCACGATCACCTCGTGCTGCAGCTAAGCAGAGCCCGGAGACAGGTTAGTTCCCATGGTTACTTTGATTATTAGTGGACACTGTCCTTTAAATTTAAATTAAGTCTACTTGTACAACTTTCATTAATCTGGTTGGTACCATGCCTAGTGAAATCAGACCTGTGAAGATCCGGGTTAGAGTTGGTCTTCAGTAACCATGCTTATCGTATGTGGTGATTAACAGGATTGGGTGGTCAGGCTAGTTGACTTGGTTGAAACATGTCATCGTATCGCAAATGTGTAGATCGATGCTTAACTTGTTGATCACTGGATTGTCTGGTCCAGACTTGATTATTTACAGACCGGTGCCATATAGCTGGAATATTGCTGAGTGCGGCATTAAACAACAAACTACCCAATCCAGTGAAATCACCTAAATTAACGACCCAGATTGATGAATCATGAGCACCTTTCAATATTTATACATGGATATTTCTAACACTGTGAGGATAAAATGATTTAATGAAAAACAGGGTCCGAGCTATTTAACTACCCCTGTATGTATTGATTTGCACATTGAACATGATGAAGTGATTATTGGACTTGTTATTTGCTATCCTTGCAACCGATTCCAATTAGGTATCATGGTACAAGAGAAAAACCCATGATCAGTGAAGTTTGGTGTAACCGGCACCACACCATGTTTGTCTCATGAACTATATCCACTTACTAATTCATGGTCCTATTTCTGTATCTGTTTGATAGAAAGTAATTTGCAGTAATATTTTTAAAGTTTTTGCAGTAATGTTGATACAGTTTTGCTGTATTATTTATAAAGTTTGACAGTAATATGTATTAAGTTTTACAGTAACCTTTGTCAAGGCATACAATAATATTGATCAACTTTTTTACAGTAATATTTATCAGGTTTTACAGTACTACTGATCATATTTGCTTCTAAAATTTATATATTGTTTCACCGAATTTTTTAGATTTATCCAGCCAAATTACCACTCAGGCTAGAATTATCTTAATGCCCATTACAAAACAACATACTAAATCTGAACACATGTTATTGTGACTGAGCCTAAATTAACAAGTCTAATGAAGGACAAACTAGTCGGCAGCAATAACTTCATGAAACGTGGAGACTTACAAGCTGAAACAGTGCAAGATAAGTATTCCTGTATGTATTGTATCATGTACATCACTCAGTATGTTAGGATATTGCGAATATTGTGACACCCTTCATTGTCATATTGTTTTGTGTTCTTGTGTTCTTCCACAGAGCATAGAATGTGTTGGCAATATGTTCGTTCACATTTGATACTCACAGTGTTATTTATTGCAGGAGGAAAGGGTTCTGGTACCAAGAAGGGAAAGGGAAAAGGAAGTCAGAGGGATGAGGAAGATCTGGATCCATCCAAACCTCATTCACCTGGATCTTCAGGATCTGAGAAGCGCAACTTGTCCTTGGAGGCTCTGTTCCAGGTGACAGACTCAGAACTGCAGAACATGACGCGACAAGTCCCAGAGGCAGAGGCGGAGTCTGTTGGTGAGAGAGTTATCATTCTCACACCAGAAAACATGGGGAACATACATTACATCATATCTGAAACTCCAGAACCTGTGCAGAACATGGTTAAAATCCCTGTGTCTGAGAAAGGGATTGAGAAATATCATTTGAAATCTGATTCCCTAGAGGAACAAGGCCTTAAGCTCGTGTACACTAAGCCGGCTTTTAATCAGATTGGTTCAGAGGAAGGAAGTTCCAATTCCAGTTCTGGAGAAGTTAAGATCAGGCCTCTGAAGGAGAAACCTACAGCTGTTCTTGGGGAACAGCAGACGGCGCCGTCTGTGGGGCGTAAAAGGAAACATCCTCAGAAACCAGGAAGACATATCTGTTCCTATTGTGGTCGTGGTTGTGCCAAGCCAAGTGTCTTACAGAAACATATCCGTGCTCATACCGGTGAGCGTCCATATCCATGTGTCACTGCGGCTTCTCGTTTAAGACTAAGAGTAACTTGTATAAACACTGTAAGTCCAGAGCTCATGCTCTGAAGGTTGGATTAAACAGTGCTGGTCCTGAGGACAAACTCAAGGACAAAGAGGAAGGCGATGTGACTGTTTCTGAGGTCATAGAGGATGTGGTTGAAGAGGATTCAGAAGACTCAGAAGGGACTGAAACAGATGAAGAGGTGATCGAAGAAAAGGTGGAGGAGCCTACACTTATTATGGAGTGTCCAGAAGATAAGGACCTACAGCCATCAGGGTCTGAAGAAATACCTTGGAGGAAACAGGCCATTCTTGCTGACATCCGACAGAAAATAGACAGGAATAAACTTATGGAGTGGAGTAAAAATTTAGAGAAACAGAAGAAACAAGAAAGTGATGCAATGCTTCAAGTTCATAGTCAGTTCCCTGTCAGAATAGCGCCAAAAGATTTACCAAACCAATCTGATGGTTCCACAGGGGTGCAGATATCAAGTTCAGTGATTGGAATTAAACCACTTGTCGCTACACCAGTTTCAAGCCAGACTGATGTAAAACCAAAGTCATCATCCCTTCCATCATCGTCTGTGGTGACAGATAAAAATACCGGTGAAGTTATAAAAGTAGAGAAAACTCCAATGGATGAGAAACCCGTTGTCAGTGTACAAGAACCGATGCCTGCTCAACCAAGGCAGTCAGTCGATCCTTCCCTTGTCCTCTCAGCAGAAATGGTTAGCCTACCACACCCATGTACAGAGCCAGAGGCTGCAACTAAAGCTCTGAGAGATTTGGAGAACCTTAGTGAGAGATTCCAGAATGCTGCCCATGAAGGTATTGCTTTGTCAACAGCTGTTAACAGCTTACCTGACAAGTCAGTGCAGGTGACAATCCATCTGCCAAAGTATCCACAAGGAAAGGTGAAGTCTTTCCCCAAACTTCAAAGAGGCAGTACTCTGCCACAGTCAGTGTCACCGTCCTCCTCTGGAGGACCAGCTGTTGGAAGATCTACGTCAGTTGATTCTCGAACACTGACACCAGAGATGCTCAAGGAAAGGATCCAGCAGCTTATTCAAGCAAATGCAGCTATTGTAGACATGCCCATGGCTGATCCTCCGCGGGCAAAGTCCAAAGGTCTCACAAGGCAGTACAGTGACTTTCTGATCCATAGCTGGAAACTCAATGAACCAAATACAGCAATGACAGGCGATGCCAGTTCAAAGATCCAAATTCCAAGCATTTCATCAGTTCCATTACAGCCCATTCAAGGTGAGGAGGGTCTTGTGCGACAAGCAGCCGTTGAGGAGAAAGGATCAGGAGATGCAGCTAGGTTGATACTTGAACAAGCAGAAGAACATTCCAAGATTCGTCAGATTCAAACTCTGAGAGATGCAGTGAGGAGAAACAGTTCCTCCTCCTCTGATGGAGATGTTGTCCGAGTTCTGCCATCAACATCGCCAGGACAGGAGATAAAGATTCAGATCAACCTGGCCAAGATGCAGAGTGAGGCAGCTCTGAAGAGCCAGAAGGAGGAGAAAACAGCTGTAATAAATGCCCAAGGGGAGTCTGATCCTAAACTTGGCAAGGCAGCTCAGATCGATCCAACTCTTCTTCAAGGTTCATTAGCATTATCCAAGCTTGACACCAGTCAGGAAAGTAGTGTGATTAAGGACTTACTTCTTAAAGGAAAGACATTTATGAATGCAGTAAGTGCTGATCAGAAGTCTTCTCTGATGTTGACTCAGGCTGAAAAGCTGAATACAGATGACTATGGACCCTATCTTTGTAAGGATTGTAATGTTTCTTTCAAAAAGGACCAGACCCTTCAAATACACAAGAAACTGTACTGTCCATGTAGCAAGCTTCAAGAAAATACAAGGACGTCAAATCCTTTTGGGGCAGGGGCTTCAGACATAAAAGCAGAGGAATTTGCTGCAATTGGCAAAGAAATCATTTCAAAGTATTTCCCCAAAACAGGCCCTGTGTTAATGAGATCACAGTCAGCGCCAGCACCAGACATGATGACAGGGGTTGACTTCAAACATGTAAAAGCAATTCCTGAAGGGTGGTATCCTAGGAAAAAAGGTAGACCTAAAGGCTCTAAAAACCGACCTAAAGACTTGCAAATGCTTGCTACAACACAAGCTTCAAAACTGCTTGCACCGGCTAATCAGCTAACACCCACAACCCCACTCATTCCAACATCACCTCGAGCTCCAGGTACTCCTGTGGTCACCCCTAAGCCCCCAAGTATATCAGCTACTTCAAGTGTAGCTACAAGCCAGGCTGCTCCATTATTACTTGCAAGCCTCCAGGCAGGTCCTCTCATTGTTCCAGGAAGCACCATCCTAACCAACCAAACAACTACATCAACCATCAGTTCATTGATGATTGGACAACCAATGGTGTCAGTTCAAGCAGGTGCATCTACCATGCACGAGTCATGTTCTAGTAAGACCACATCGTCGTCGTCATCTCAGGCTCAGACTCCTCAGACCCCACAAACTCCTCAAACCCCCCAGACTCCCGGGACACCTCAGACACCACAAACACCAACATCCACTGATCCTCAAGCTTTGTGGAAGCTGAAACTGAAGGGCAAGTTGCTGATGAAAAGATCTATGAGTGTTGAGAGAATGTTGTCTCAAGAGAAAGAAGTCACTACCCCAACTACCACTGTTCCTTTAAAAATAAAAATCAAACAGGGATCTGTGTGCATAGAGCCTGAACATTCTGTTAGCAAGATTGCTAAACTGACCGATAATGAACATACAGGACTCTTCACATGGCAACCTCCAGTGGTCAGCCCAAATGCTCCAAAATCTCTGGCAGGTCAAACTCTGCCCAAATTCTTTAACATGCCTAATTTGAAATTGTTAACAGACGACACTAACAGTGCGTCACATGATGTACTGAGAGTGGAACGATAGGAATGATGTCTGCATCATCTGGTAATGTGATTGTACCTGTAGCTATGCCTCAGCCTTTCTTTGTTAATGCTGAGATCCCCAGTGCAGTGTATGCCCAGTCCTTGGCTAGTGTCAATCTCCTTACTGGCGGTCTAGTTCAGCATGGCAGCATCAACATCCCAGGATTCCACATGACATTACCAGCAGCTCAGCCGCGAAATTTGTCATGTACCCCAACCATTGTTTATCCCAGAACACCAATAGCTTCAACACCAACCATCATCATCTCCTCAGATGAAGTGAAGAGTGACGGTACACCTCCCCATGAAAAAGGTGTCAACACATCCACAACTCAGCAGCTGAAGGCCAAACTGGAAAAACAGATCTCCATCTCAAAATCTGGATCTCCATCACCAGTGAAAACCCCCATCACTGATGTGAAACCTTTCTTGACAAGCCGTCAGCTTTCAGTGCTGACAGTTCCAGAAAGCCTAAAAGTTGGGGGTGGAACTTCACCAACAACACCAACCAAACCCACAACACCAACACCAAGAGAACTCCATTCACCATCAGCCAAAGCAGTTCCTCTGTACCTGTATGGCCACTCCTACCCTTCACTCCGAGGCTCCACTCATGTGACTTTCTGTTGTGTTCAGAAGCTCCAGCCTATATGTCCCTGTTAGCAAGAATAGGAAAATTTCTATGTATTCCAACTGGAGGGTGGCCAAACATAATCCAAATCCACCAAATCTCTCCTCCAAGATGTTACTGTCTCTCTACAAGTCCCGGTACACCAGCAACCCAGTTTACAGTGAGAGCAACTTGGCTCCACCCAATGGGGGCATCCTCACTCACAGCTCATACTGGACATACAAGAAGAAGAAACAGGACGCCTCCAATCTGCAGGTGAAAGAAAGCCCTGAACCCAAAGGCACCAAGGCTGACAACTTAACCGAAATTATCACAAACACGGAGGAGCTGAAGGAACCGGTGTATCGACTTCAGAATGAGAAGCTGATTGTTAAGAAGGATCACAAGGGTCTGAGAAGGATTCAGGTCTGTAAGGGAGGCTTTAAGACAAATGAGGAGTATGTTTATGTCCGGGGTCGAGGGCGAGGCAAGTATGTTTGTGAAATTTGTGGAATCCGATGCAAGAAACCAAGCATGTTGAAGAAGCATATTCGCACACACACAGACTTTAGACCATATCATTGTCGGCATTGTCGATTTTCATTCAAGACAAAAGGAAATCTGACAAAGCATATGAAATCTAAGGCACATCAGAAGAAATGCCTGGAGATAGGAGTTGTTCCGGTGCCTATCACGGTGGACGAGTCTCAGATAGACTCGGAAGCCCTGGCAGCACAATCTGCTGTAGCTAAAGAGGCCAGGATACGAGATGCTGCCGATATCAAGACCTATCCTCCTGGTCAGGAGGATGAAGATGATGATGACGAGGACGATGATGAGGAAGAGGACATGGAAGATGATGATGATGATGATGATGATGTTGATGACTTACAGAATCAGATGGTGGTAGAGGAAGAAATGGAAATCAGGTTGGTAATCACCTTTCTGATATTTCAAACCTTTCGAAGGATATTTGACTTTTACCTAAAATGATATTTGTAGACGCCAAGGCCAATCACACAATATTTCATGTACATGGCTGCTTTCTCAGTTGTCAGTTAGAACACCTAGCAATTTGTTAAAATACTTTGGTACTATTTTTTTTACATAGAAAACATCTTATCTGCACGAATGGTGTCTTGATCTGTGTTTCTTCATAATGTTTATCACTAATATCCAAAGAAGATACTTTAAGGGATTCCAGGATAGAATAAGTCCATAGCATGAATGGATGTGTTATCATGAAGACATTTTTCTGCTTATATTCACCTCCACGATATTATCTCCAAAATTTAGAGCTTGGAATAAGGCAGGTATATAATGTATATATGTCAATTTCTAGCACACTTGAAGATGGTTCTGAACAGATCCGAGAAGGAGACAAGGAGTCGTCTCCCCCTGTTTTTGTGGCAGTTCAGGTATCTGACAGTGATCAACCAGCCCTCATACAGATAACTCCTGGAGCCATCACTAGCAGCAGGTAGGTGTACAGACAGGAGGCCTTCAACTGATTCCATTTCAATGATGTCACAATTCAGTGCATCACACATTTATCCTGACTTTTCATTCAAAAAATTATTTGCTTGTACTTAGTTTTCTCAGTGTGAATTGATATGTGAGGTAAGCATATTTGATGCTACAATACCCAAGTCTTCCTTGGTTCTGTACCCAGCTGGGTTCCGGCGTTAATATTGATCCTTGGGCCCCTGTTCCACAGAATGGTCATAGCTCTGTGACTGTGGCAGGGGCTGTAAGTCTATGATAAGTACGGGTATTACCTTTTTGGTACCATCCCTTTGTGGGACAGGGTGCTGCTACCTGTGTTGACTGGAAGAGGCGACTCAAAGGATCAGGTGATCAAGCTTGGTCACTTGGTTAATAGTGTGTCCTCGTACCCCAAAGATGTGGAGCTTTGCCCTAGTGATGCGACTCAGTTATTTAGGGTCAAACAACAGTCACTCATTAACAAATATCTGGTGATATTGCTGGAATATTGCTGAAAGTGGGGTAAAACTAAACTCACTCACTCACTCGCTCACAAGCACATATATTATATCTGAGCATGTGTAGTGATGCTGCCTCTCCCTGTGTTCCAGCCTGCCAACGGTGATGAGTCTCGCTAACAACGTCACAGTCCAGGCCACCACCTCCTCACAGTGTAAGTCACAGTTACTCATTCAAGGTTGCACAATTTTTGGTTAAAGTTATGTTTTTAACTGATGGGAAAATAGAGTGACAAATCATAAAATGTATGAGTGGCATAATATCTAAGTCCATCCATCCATCCATCCATCCATCCATCCATCCATCCATCCATCCATCCATCCATCCATCCATCCATTGCATATAATAAGTATTTGCCAAAACATGGAACAGGTTTGAGTAAGATCCAGGGCCCCGTTCCTCAAAGCGATCGTACTGCTATGACTGTCGTAACTCTATGTTAAAGTATGGGAGTTACGATCAACTTAACGCTACGATTGCTTTGAGGAACGGGGCCCTGGTTGGATTCCAGTATTGATCCCAGCAATTGTTTGCTGTACGTTGCAATTTAATGGCCTAAGAGGGCAGGCACCATGTCTCATCACACCCTGATGTTACCTTACTATGAAGTACTGTATTATCTGGTCCAGGCTTGAATATTTACCAGATGCTTGTACATAGCTGGAATATTGCTGGGTGTTGCATCTAACAAACAAGCAAGCCGACACACTGTGTTAGGTGATCAGTGTTGTACGAAACACAGTTCACTTGCTATAGCTTGGGGGTTTCACTCAGGGTTTTAACTGACCTTCAAAACTTCAGGTCAAGTTGACCAGCACATACACATTTCAAGGGTCCTTACAGGAAGTAGGAAGGTCCTGTGAAGTAATGATATGGTGCAGGGCACTGAACCATGGCATCTGATGATGTTAGATACAGGAACTTTATATTCCCTGTCCAGAATCTGGTACAATGAATGTTATTGTGTAGCCCTTGGGAAGCAATAACTATTTGTCCATGCATCCAATCAATGTATTTCTGCATAGTGGATGCTCATCCCAGCACTGCGTACAAACCTGTGACTGTAGTTTGGTGAATTATCCTGCTGTTAAAAATAATGGTTGTAAATTGTTGTTAAGTATTATCAACAATTATGCAACTTAGACATTGATCAAATCTGAGGTGAAATATCTGTATTTTGTGAATGATTTCTAGAATATTTCTCAACATGAATAGCTAACAGCTATATTTCTTAAGTGGCTCACACTCACTCACTCACTCACTCACTCACTCACTCACTCACTCACTCACTCACTCACTCACTCAAAACTTGCCACTGAGATGCTGACAAAAAATCTAAAACAGAAAATGCTTTTGACTTGATGTTATGAATCATATTTGAAGTAGTTTTCCAAATTGTAAAGCTATTTGTTAAATCCCATCTGATGAAATGTGATCAAAGAACCGTTATGAAACATGGCAAAGATTGTCAATGCAGCCCTATTCTGTATCTTGCTGACAGTGAAGGAGCTGAGTACATCGCAGAAGATTGATGCAGAGATTGCACGGAGTCTGCTGGATCTGTCGAAGAAGGCTGAAGCAGACGGCAGTGGGGGAGATGGGCAGACGTCTGGCATCCTCACACCAGACTCACAGAAAGGTAATCCTCCATCACCAATGCCAGTCAGTTTGATGAATGAATTACTGACAGATGCTTTCAGATGATTAAGGGTTATGATTGATATTGTATTGAGTTGTTTGAACATGATGAATCTTTAAGTTTCGACCTGTAGTGTCACAGAACTGGAAACTGTTCATTGTTTCACTAGTGTCATGTGTCTCTTGTTTATATTGCAAAAGTGTTCATTCGCAAGGCCTTGGTATTCTTTTTCAGAAGAAGTCTTCCTTGGGGTACATATAATCATTTTAATGTCCATTAAAATTCCCACAACAGTTGTAACTATATTTTTATCCCACCGGCATGTAATGCAGTGGGATATAGTCGTCGTCCGTCCGTCCGTCGGTCCATCCGTAATCATTTTGTTTCCGGAGCATAACTCAAAGACCGTTCGATATTTTTCAACAAAATTGGTAGATATGTCAAACATAACGTAAGGTGGTGCCTTTTGCTATTTACAGATTATTGTCATTTTTATTTTTCTCGGTTTCCACGGAAACGTTTTGGACTTAGTCTTAAAGAAGGGTGGGCTTCGTTTCCGGAGCATAACTCAAAAACCGTTCAACATTTTTCAACAAGACTTGGTAGATATATCAAACAGAGCCTAAAGTTGTGCCTTTTGCTATTTGCAGATTTTTGGCATTTTTATTTTTCCCGGTTTCCATGCAAACGATTCGGACTTAGTCCCAAAAGTGACGGGTGCACTTCATTTCCGGAGCATAACTCAAGAACCATTCAATATTTTTCTACAAAACTTGGTAGATATATCAAGCAGATCCTAAAGTTGTGCCTTTTGCTATTTACAGATTTTTGGCATTTTTATTTTTCCCGGTTTCCATGGAAACGATTCGGACTTAGTCCCAAAAGTGAGGGGTGGGCTTCGTTTCCGGAGCATAACTCAAGAACTGTTCAATATTTTTCAAGAAAACTTGGTAGATATATCAAACAGAACCTTAAGTGGTGCCTTTTGCTATTTACAGATTTGTGGCATTTTTATTTTTCTTGGTTTCCATGGAAACATTTTGTACTTAGTCTCAAAAAGTAAGGATTGCTTTCGTTTCCGGAGCACAACTCAAAAACTGTATAATATTTTCCAACAAAACTTGGTAGATATATCAAACAGATCCTAAAGTTGTGCCTTTTGCTATTTGCAGATTTTTGGCATTTTTATTTTTCCCTGGTTTCCATGGAAACGATTCGGACTTAGTCCAAAAAGTGAGGGGTGGGCTTCGTTTCCGGAGCATAACTCAAGAACCATTCAATATTTTTCTACAAAACTTGGTAGATATATCAAGCAGATCCTAAAGTTGTGCCTTTTGCTATTTACAGATTTTTGGCATTTTTATTTTTCCCAGTTTCCATGGAAACGATTCGGACTTAGTCCCAAAAGTGAGGGGTGGGCTTCGTTTCCGGAGCATAACTCAAGAACTGTTCAATATTTTTCAAGAAAACTTGGTAGATATATCAAACAGAACCTTAAGTGGTGCCTTTTGCTATTTGCAGATTTTTGACATTTTTATTTTTCTTGGTTTCCATGGAAACATTTTGTACTTAGTCTCAAAAAGTAAGGATTGCTTTCGTTTCCGGAGCACAACTCAAAAACCGTATAATATTTTCCAACAAAACTTGGTAGATATATCAAACAGATCCTAAAGTTGTGCCTTTTGCTATTTGCAGATTTTGGGCATTTTTATTTTTCCCGGTTTCCATGCAAACGATTCGGACTTAGTCCCAAAAGTGAGGGGTGCGCTTCATTTCCGGAGCATAACTCAAGAACCATTCAATATTTTTCTACAAAACTTGGTAGATATATCAAGCAGATCCTAAAGTTGTGCCTTTTGCTATTTACAGATTTTTGGCATTTTTATTTTTCCCTGTTTCCATGGAAACGATTCGGACTTAGTCCCAAAAGTGAGGGGTGGGCTTCGTTTCCGGAGCATAACTCAAGAACTGTTCAATATTTTTCAAGAAAACTTGGTAGATATATCAAACAGAACCTTAAGTGGTGCCTTTTGCTATTTACAGATTTGTGGCATTTTTATTTTTCTTGGTTTCCATGGAAACATTTTGTACTTAGTCTCAAAAAGTAAGGATTGCTTTCGTTTCCGGAGCACAACTCAAAAACCGTATAATATTTTTCAACAAAACATGGTAGATATATCAAGCAGATCCTAAAGTTGTGCCTTTTGCTATTTACAGATTTTGGGCATTTTTATTTTTCCCGGTTTCCATGGAAACGATTCGGACTTAGTCCCAAAAGTGAGGGGTGGGCTTTGTTTCCGGAGCATAACTCAAGAATTGTTCAATATTTTTCAAGAAAACTTGGTAGATATATCAAACAGAACCTTAAGTGGTGCCTTTTGCTATTTACAGATTTGTGGCATTTTTATTTTTCTTGGTTTCCATGGAAACATTTTGTACTTAGTCTCAAAAAGTAAGGATTGCTTTCGTTTCCGGAGCACAACTCAAAAACCGTATAATATTTTTCAAGAAAACTTGGTAGATGTATCAAACAGATCCTAAAGTTGTGCCTTTTGCTATTTGCAGATTTTTGGCATTTTTATTTTTCCCTGGTTTCCATGGAAACGATTCGGACTTAGTCCCAAAAGTGAGGGGTGGGCTTCGTTTCCGGAGCACAACTCGAAAACTTCACAATATCTTTCAGCAAAACTTGGCAGATATGTGAGTCAGATCTTGAGGTGGTGCCTTTTGCTATTTGCAGATTTTTGTCATTTATTTTTTTCATGATTTCCATGGAAATGATTTGCACTTAGTCTAAAATCAAGCTGGACTTTAAGTAACTGTCAGACGATTTGTTCTTTCAAAGATGTGGGGGCCGGGGGGATATGTCATCTTCTGATCGGGGCCCCCTGCAGCCAAGAGCAGGTAACTCTAGCCGTCAACCCTGCAGCTCACTTTTCATGTCGTTCATCTTGAAAGACGTGTGTGTGCTTCATTGAAGTTTGTGCTTCTTCCCTTCGAAAATATGATTGAGAAAGAGTCAAATACTGTGGTGCTTCCACAGTGGTTAATGTTGGCGGTAAGCAGGCCAAGTCGGTGGATAAAACCCCCTCTTCCCCTTCCCCTTCTACTTCTGCACAGTCCACTCCTGTACCGTTAACTTTGTCAGATGTGTCCTCTCTCTTCAGTGCGTTCACTGATCACGGATGCGATGTCCGGTCTCCGGCAGGAGATCGGTGTCCATTCGGGGTTGAGTGGCGGGCTGGGGTCGTCTGCCGGAGCCACCCCTACCTTGGGCCTAGGCTCCGGGACGGGTACTGCCTCCGGGGGAGCACCTAACCCGAGCCTCGGCTCCAGTAACGGCCTCCCTGCTAGATCAGCTGTGTCTGGCCCGATTTCGGCTCAAGTGCAGTACAGCTCTACGGCGCTGATCCATCAGGTCTAGCACCGATGGCTCCCGGCACCCATGCTGTTGGTTCTCGAGACCGGCACCATCGGTACCTTCCGGCGCTCCGGGCTCTTCCCTCGGGTCTCGACACCCAGGTTCGGCCTCGATCCTAGGGTCGGTCGAGCCAGGCTACTCGGCGCTTCTCGATCCTCTGTCGTTGTCCGTGGCCCCTTCTTCTGTTCCTTCTGAGCCGACTCTCGATACAGAGAGCTCTCCTGGAGGATGAGGATGGGGGTCAGGATCAGCTGGGGGAAGCTAGCTTCTCGCTTAGCTCGTCCCTGAGGCAGGTGCACGAGCGCATCGTTGCAGTATTGCCTCAGGTGGTTGTCTCCTCGGACGGTTCCGGGTGAAGCCTTCGCTCCGTGTCGGGCTGCCGATACCCAGCTACGCATATTACCTTAGCTTATAAGCAAGGTAATCAACCCTCTCCTGTCAGGTAGCCGGTCACGGTTTGATCTCCCCGAGCTCAACCGTCGCTACTTGATGGGAGAGGAAGAGTTGTTTGATCCCCCGGTGGTTGACGAGTGCATCTATGCCTCGATCGCCTTGGGGGATCATCCGGCCACAGCCAAGCATCGGCTCGTCAGGGCCGGCGCTAGCCACCTTTCTCCTCCAGTAACCAGGTGTTAAAGTCGGTTTACCACTCCTTCGAGGAGCAATACCACAACGCCGTGCAGCAGCTTACCCTCGGCCCTGCAGAGGCAGCTGGTGGACTGGGGGGCGTGGACGATGCCGTGTCGTCGTCCAGGCTTGCAAGGCAATTATGGAGGTTCACTCTCATCTGGCCCGCGACGCCATCCGGTCGTGCGCAAGCCAGATGATGAGCGCGGTTATGGGCCTTCGTAGGTTATGGCTGTCGGTCGCCAGGTATTCACTGGCTACACAGCAGGCACTGCTCTCTCTGCCCTTCAGGATGGGTTCCACCCTATTCCCGGGGTCTTTGACAGTGGTCAGGGAGGCCGCGGAGGCGGTTAGTCAATTTAAGGACTCGAAGCCCTTACTTGAACAAACCCTCACCTCTCGCGACCGGCCTTCCGTCCTTGCCGCTCGCATATCCTTCCTCTTCGGGGAAGGAGGCGCCTAAGTAGACTGCTCCACTTCAGGCACGCAAGGGCAAGGGCAAGGGCAAGGGTAAAGGTAAGGCAAGGCTGCTTCCGCTCAGCAGCCTTTTCAGAGGAAGGGGAAGTCGGCCCCAGTATCCCAGTAAGCAATCCTCCGGAGCCCTTGGTGGTCTCGGCGCAAGCAGTCACTACACTGCCGACAGTCGGGATTCACAGCCTATTACCCGACGTCCCTGTCGGCGGCCGACTGACTCTCTTCCTTCGGGAATGGGAGAAAGTCACCTCAAATCCCTGGGTCCTGTCCACACTCAGGGATGACCACATGTCACAGTGGAAGCGAGGCCCTCCTCCTTTCTCCGGGATTCGTTACTCTCCGGTGCCGAACTCTCAGGAGAAGGCAGGTATACTCCGTGCCCAGGTCCAGTCGTTGCTGGACAAGGCAGCCATCGAAATGGTTCCGGTGAGCCAGGAAAATCTGGGGTTTTACCCCACTTATTTCCTGGTAACCAAAAAGGACGGAGGGTTCAGACCCATTCTCAATCTCAGGGGTCTGAACGACTTGATAGAGGTGCCGTCTTTCAAGATGGGGACACTGCGTTCAGTGAACCCATCTGTAGAGGCATGGGATTGGCTCACGTCAATTGACCTCAAAGACGCCATACCTCCATGTATCGATGCACCCCGAGTTTTGGAAATACCTCCGGTTTTTCTTTCAACGGGAAGTGCTATCAGTTTCGTGTGCTCCCCTTCGGCATCTCCACGGTGCCAAAGGTGTTCACCAAACTCATGCTAGTGCCAGCTCAGGTCGCCAGGGCACAGGGCAACTATTGTTACCCGTACCTGGACGACTAGCTACTCAGGGCACTCGCTACCCACTTGAGTCGGGATACTCTCACCAAGTTTGGTTTGATTATCAACCTCAAGACATCAGAACTGGTTCCCACCCAGGATCTGGTTTTCTTGGGGGCAAGATTCGAGACAAAACAGGGCATAGTCTCTCTGTCTCGGGACCGCATTCCCAAAGTCCAGGGGATTGTGTTACAATTCCTCCAGTCCCCCCAGAGCCTCAGCTCGAACTTGGCTTCAGTTGCTAGGCAACATGGCGGCGACAGTGGACATAGTTTGGCATGCACGCATGAGGATGCAACCTGTTCAGCAAGCACTAGCGGAGCTGTGGTCTCACACAGAGACTTACAAGAAGATTCCGGTAACTCCGGAGTGGCTCATTCCTCACTTACGGTGGTGGACAGACAACAGGAATCTATCCAAGGGTTTACCGTTGGAGACCCTGTGCCGATGCTCACAATTCAGACAGACACCTCCCTCACAGGGTGTGGGGGTGTCCTGGGCAACCTCACAGCTTCGGGCCTTTGGTCCGAGAATGAGGCAACCCTGCACATCAATCTGCTGGAATTGAGAGCAGTCCGGTTGGTGTTCGAACGCTTCCTGGATCAGGTTCGAACCATGCGGTTCGTCTAGAAATGGACAACCAAACGGCGATGTCCTATATCCTGAAGCAGGGCGGTACGGTGTCTCCGTCACTCCTTCAGGAGGCGTGGCAGTTTCTACTGTGGTGCGATCAGTTCAGCATACGGGTTATGCCTGCTTATCTCCCAGGGGTAGACAATGTTTGTGCAGATGCGCTCTCACTTTGTGTTCTTGTTCCTCACGAGTGGTTACTCGACCAGGAGATATTCGGGATTATTTCCCAGTTGTTCGGTCGTTCAAGGTGGATCTGTTTGCCTCTGGGGTGATGAACCAGACTCCGGTGTTCTGCTCACGGATCCCGGATCCGAGAGCAATCGCCTCCGATGCCTTCAGCTCGATTGGACAGACAGGGTTCTGTGGGCCTTCCCACCGATACCGCTCATTTCCAGGGTACTCTCGCGGCTAGCCACCCAACCAGCCCGACTACTAGTGCTTCTTGCACCTCTGTGGTTGTCTCAGCGCTGGTTTCCGGTAATATTCAGGTCGCTCGTTCAGCCTCCTGTACTATTACCAATGCGACCAGACCTACTATCCCAGAACGGCGCACGCCACACCTGAATCCCAGGATTCAATGGGTGGCTTGGCCACTGTCCGGAATTGCATCCAAGCAAGCGGAATTCCTGCACCAGTTTGCAGGCACAATTCTGGCTTCGCAGAGGGATTCCACTAACGTACAGTATGAGGATAGGTGGGCCTGTTATGTGCGCTGGTGTGGAAACAAAGGGGATTCTCATCCATTTTCTTCGACTGTAGTCGAGGTGTTGGAGTGTTTACAGTCTCGGTTAGAGTCCGGCTCAGCTGCATCTACTATCCGAGGCTACTCAACGGCTATTTCAGCCTTCCACATTCCCATCGAGGGTGCCCTGTTAGGGTAACATCCTCTGGTGCAGCGCTTCCTAGCAAGTGAGGACAGACTGCATCCGGTCGTTCGTCGGTCCAGTCCCACATGGAACTTGTCTCTCGTTTTAGATTGGATGTCCACACACACGCACGCACGCGTGCATGCACGCGCGCACGCACGCGACGCACGCACGCATGCGCGCACGCACACACACACACACATGCACACACACTGCCTTGATTGACATCAGCGGTCAGGTGACTAGGTAAGTGTTATTTTCTCTATTTCCGTACGGTTATAGATTATTACTATCAATGGATCACTTTGTCAGACTGAATAACACTGCTGGCTCCTTTGTCTCTGGGAGTCTGTTTAATGCTTATATGTACCCCAAAGAGGACGTCTTCTGAAAAAGAATTATACAAACCTGTAGAGGTTATGAATTCTTTGAAGAAAGTCCTCCTTGGGGTACAGCCACTGGCCTCCCCTCATTCTGTCTGATATGTTCAGCATGAAAAGTGAGGTGCGAGGTGGACAGCTAGAGTAACCTGCTCTTGACGGGGTGGGGGTGTCGGTCTCACAAGACAAAAACAAGGTTTTTGTTTTGTAAATATTTTATTACAAAATATAGTTACAACTGTCGTGGGAATTTTAATGGACATTAAATTGCTTATATGTACCCCAAGGCGGACTTTCTTCAAAGAATTCATAACCTCTACAGGTTTGTATAAATTTCCGTATCCTTCGAGAAAACTAGAACCTCTTCACCTGCGCAGTGCTCAAACGTTTCTTCTAGACAGAACTCAGTCATGTAATGGCGGATCAATAGCGTCTCCATCGCCCTCGTTGACAACAGACAAGCTAGCCATTAAATGTCTTGTGTATCACATCAACACAAGTCCCCGGCAGAGGAGGGATATTTGTGGCCCGACATTTGCTTGTATTAGTCAAGTTGGATCTAAGTCGATGTAACATGGGGTTCTGATTGGATAGAAAGAAGGGAGATAATTCGTGTTGCGATTTTTGGCCGATAGGGGATATTACGAGAACCGGAAAATATTGCTGTATTAGAACAGAGGTTCGTAGGAAGATATGACAAGTAACCTCTGTGGGAAGAGAATGGGTGCTTAGAAGAATGTTTATGTTTCTGACTATATCAAAACATTTCTGAGACAGTTTTCATACATTTTCTTTATGCAGGTGTTACAAGATTAAACTCACTTATTGGAGCCTTGATGTCAAGGACAAAGCCTCTGTCTGGTCTCAAACCAGGGGGAGAGAACTCTCCACTGACTATAGAGGTTGCTCAAGGAGGAGAAGCTGTCTTATCAGTCACCAAATCCAGCATGGTTTCTCTTACTCCAACAACACCGAAAGGATTCGAGGTAGGCTGAATGAAAGACTTTGCGTCACACAAAACAAATTATGACACAGGGTCTCACAGTGTCAGACTAGTTGCAAGTTTTCATTATGTGTCATTATACCAAGATACTGCTGATATTCCCAGTCACTTGGTTAGACATTGGTGTAATATGATTAGATAATTGCTAACTGCCGCTTAAAACAAATGACACCCACTTGTCATCATGTCATTGTAGCAAATACACAATGAACATGTTATGACATTATGTCACCTGTCACTGTCTATTACAAGCCTGTGGATGATGTTTTAGAATGTAAACATTCAGGCACATTTGTGGACACAGGTTGTACTGGAATGGTATTTTTCATGTATTTATAGGAAATCTGAAGAGATTTCATTTTTGTGTAAATTTTAATTTGTTTCATGTTAGCAAAAGTTTTTGGTTTTTGTTTGAAAGTGTTTTAACTTTTTCAGTTCAGTGTGGTTCTGCCTGTTCGCAATAAGTCTCACTTGGTCAGACATGTTTCATTATGTGAAATATCTGGGAAAACGTGACAATATAGCCATTTTACTTGAAAAGTATGTTTTAATACAATCACTGAGAATGAGAGCTCATCCTGATCTCTTTAAAAAAGGATATACACAACTTTCTTCTGATCAGGGATATTTAACATCATGTAGACAAATAGATTTAACATCTATTCTCCCATAACAAATCTGTTCATGATAAATCCTTCATGATTATCAAACTAAGTACTTTTTACATAAAGTGTTTTTCTTTATATTTATGCACTCATATATTAACAATTCCATATGGAAAAAGAATTCCCTTTAGGATAATAAATATTGTCACTGTCATTGTTCCAGGCAAGCCTCCAAGCTGCAAGAGGCCTACCTTTTACTATGACATCGTTTGAGAAGGTCATGCCTTTGAAAATGGATTTTTCCAAGACCTCACCGAAAGACTCTCCCAGGACTCCAAGTGTGGACATGAGCATCAAGGCCCTACCAGCCATGCAGATGAATATACCAGTCATGACCAAGCCATCGCTACTGGCCTTTCTTCCTGCATATGCAGCTGTGACTAAAGACATGGCCACAAGGACCAGCACTGGACCAATCGTGGGTCAGTTCATTCGACAAGAACCAATTGTCCTGCCCAACTACAGCCACTCCTGGGGTTACAAGCTGCCCAAGACAACGGAATCTTTTCAGTTCAGTCATCCCTTCCCTGGTGTTATGATTGGGGAAGGTCCGGTTCCATCGATTTCAACTGATCCTGAAGATCAGAAGAATAAGACTGTTGTCAATGCTGGGAATGGAAATGCTTCCTTTGCAGATGCATTGAAGATTCCAGTGGTAATTCCTGTGACAGACACTTCAACGGTTCCAATAGTTGTTAGTGAGAGTTCTGATGAGTCAACGAATCAGGACCTTGAGCCAAATGATTCGGACAAGGTTCCAAAAGTAACAGTATCAGAAGATGATGCAGTGGGAGCATCAGCTTCAGAAGGTGTTGAAAAGTCTGGGGTGACTCTAGTTCCGGTTCAGGAGCTCCTCAGCCCGGTGCTTCATTCCCCATCGGTCATCAAGGAAGGAGCAATCATCCTCTGCCCTCCTGAGGCAGGGGGAGCCACTACTCCCCAGCAACAGATTGTGTACTTCATTGGGGACTCACCGGTTCAGGTGCTGGGGATGGAGAAAGAAGGACCTCATGCTTGTGATGTTTGCAGCAAATCCTTCCCCCAACAGCATCAACTCACCTTACATCGGAACATTCATTTCATGGACAAGCCATTCCGGTGTTCTGTTTGTTCCATGTACTTCAAGAACCAGGGAATGTTGGAGAGGCATGAGAAATCAGAAAGTCACATCGCAAAACATGAACTAAGATCTCAACAAGAAGCCGCAATTAAGGATGACCCTCGCCCATACAAATGCTCATTTTGCAATGTGGCTTTCCGAATCCGTGGACATTTGTCAAAACATCTCCGGTCTAAACTACATGTGACCACCTTAGAGAAGATGGAAATGTTACCAGCAGGAACGTTTGATAGACTGGACAAGAGTGGTGAGATTGCTCGAGTAGATACATCAGACCCTCAGAGTGTTTTGAAAATCCTTCAAGGGAAGGGTGTAGGAGATGGGTCAGATTATCTGCATTCACCCAGACCGTCCACATCCAAGGATACAGAGGATGAAGACGAGGATGGAGAAGCTGAAGGGGAGCTGATGATAGATGAGTCTCTTGTGGAAGAAGGGAACCGAGAACGAAGGGACAGCATGGCTAGCCCCATCAAGGACCACTTTCATCTCAATAAGGTGGCAGACTATGAGAAACACGACCAAGCCTCCAATGAGCGAGTGACAGTTGAAATTAAGCAGGAACCTCTGGACATCTTTGAGATTGGACAAGGTAATTCAGATGCTCAGCGTTACGGGACTGAAACGGAATCAGAGAAATTTGCAAATGTTGAGACAGTGAATGTGGTGGCAAAAGATGGCCGAACATCCCCAGGTGTTTCGGGAGGCAGCTCACAAGTGTGGTATCTGCAGGCAGAACTTCAGATCACTGGACCAACTGAGGGTAAGTTGTGAATACCCTGTAGCTTTAAGCACTTCCAAGCTCACTGACATTTCTTTAATGTTTCCCTTTTCAGGCTTATGCTGGATAGGTAGCAGATATTCTCAATTAACTCACCAGTATATTTGTATTAGAGGACCAGACTGTCATGTCAATGATTTTAAAGTTGCCAGTACCACAATGTTGTTTGACTTTAACTGTATTGCAGTGTACAGGATCTCACATAGACATAGTTTAGTTATTACCCTGATTGTATTGTTTGACAAGTACCCATATTTTCACGATATGTGACTGATCTGTACACTTCCAACCCTATCCTTATCATTTCAGGAATTGTTTTTTTTAAGATGACATCAGATAGTCTGTAATTTGGTACTAATGACCAGATAATGCTTTATGATTAGATGTCTTCCATTTAGCGTAAAACCACTCACTCGCTCAAATTGGTTGCCGCATGTCATCATATCCAAAAGGGGCGGTGGGGTAGCCTAGTGGTTAAAGCGCTTTAGAAAACCCGGGTTCGAATCCCTACATGGGTACAATGTGTGAAGCCCATTTCTGGTGTCCCCCGCCGTGATGTTGCTGGAATATTGCTAAAAGCGGTGTAAAACCCAACTCAGTCAGTCATATCCAAAATGCATAGATCGATGCTCTTGCTTTTGATCACTGGATTGTCTCGTCCAGACTCGATTATTTACAGACTGCCGCCATATAGCTGGAATTTGGCTGGGTGTGGCATTAAACAACAAAGTCACTCACTCAGTCACTCATTTTGTTTTGCATGGAAATATACCTGTACTATGTTGTCAGAGACTGATGTTATTGTTTGTGTTACAGTCACACTTGATCACACATGCCGAGCTCCGCCCCTACGTGTGCGAGTACTGTGACGCTGGCTTCACCAATGCCATGGCCTTGCAGAAACACCTCCAGACTCACAGAATGGTCAGTGGTCTCATATTGGCATCAGGGTCCCATATTAGTTCAGTTCTTATATGTGAGGCACAGAAAATATATCGTGTACTTCATGGTTGTTGTAGGAGCCAAATGTGTTGGGATTCTAGGTTAGAATAGTTCCCCAGCAACCCAGGTAACAGGGACCAATGGATTGGGTGTTCAGGCTCAGTCACTTGGTTGATGGTGTTTTGTCTTGCCACAACAGCGTGTTCACATTAGCAATCAGTGAATTATCTGGTCCAGAATGTTATTTTCATGGTTATATATAAGCCACCTTCATATAGTTGGAATATTGCTGGGTGCAGCATTAAACAACAGACAAACGTCATAATCATCATGATAAGATGGGGGGGGTAAGTGTCTCTCATTGCCCTTTTGTCTGCATTAAGACGGGGGGGGGGACTATGGTCTATGGATTTTGATTCTCCATTACGAGTTGGACGAATCTGTGGTGTGCAGACTTTGATTCTGCGTTTAGCTGACTTGTTCCCTCAATTCCCTCACTCATATTAAAATGAAAGGAAACTTTGTTTTTTTCATGTGATGCAAACACTTTTATTTGTGGACGTTTTTGTGTTGCAGTTTGAATCGTTCACCCTGTCCCAGTCACGCCCATATATATGTGGGCTCTGTGGGGATACTTTCACAAAGTCAGAGGAATTGAAGACCCATCATGCAACACATTCAAGGACAACATTGCTGCGACCATCTCTGCGAGACAGTTTCATCCAGTCCCAGAAGGATACCACTTCCTCTAATGGATCTCAGATAGATGCGAACAGTGAAAACAGTGATGCCAATGCTTGTGCAGAAGACACAGAGAATCATTCAAAGGGAGATAACTCTGACTCATCTTCTTCACCCAAGGGAAGTAACTCATTCCAGGCAGGTGTTTCTAAAGGCGAGCACTCTGCAGAAGTTGATATGACAGAACAGTCTATTCCTTATAAAATGGAGTTTGAGGTTAAAGGAAATAGTGACTGTGCATCCGACGTGGTTATAGACGAAATAAAGGTTCAGAGGAAACAGATCCAGAGACAGTTTTCAGTGGACGAAAGTGACAAATCTATTTCCTCGACCAGGAAACAAAGGAACAAACTGACTTCTTAAAAGATGATTCTGTTTCTCAAAGTATCTTGTCAGAAAAAAGAGAAAACAGATGATAGCAGGTGTATGATTTGCAGCAAATATTTATCATATCAAAAACTGAGATCTAACGAGATACGTGGTATTCACAGAGGAGCAGTAGGTAAACAGTTACTGGCAGAGTAACCTCTGTTAGTTAGAGACACAGAGATGTTAAGGAAAGGCATGCATGGTTTCTGAAATGATCGTGTAATGGAAACAAAGGGTAATGTAACTGATTGCAAAATTATGTTGTGTCATTAAATGTGTGAGTATTTTCATGTTTGTATCAACAGGATAGATTGATAAAGTGTTTCCAGTGCTTTAGCCAGGCAGTCCATTTGGCATTCCAAAGAATTTGTGGAAGTTTGCGCTTAACGTATACACAAGTTTTTGTACATTGGTACTCATCTTCATTTCAAGTGATGATAAGATGATGATGATGATGATGATGATGATGATCATCATCATTGAAAATCTTGACTGAAAAGAAGTTACGAACCAGTCTTTCAAACTGTTGAAACACAGTTGTATTTTTAAAATGTTTAATTCATTTTGTGACTTCTAACCACAAAAATGTCATCAGCTATATTTATTCCTATGAGGGTGCATATACTAAATGTAACATTGTTTCAAAAACAAAATTAGCAATAAATGCTAACATGAGATATATATTGGTTTGCATGACAAGGCAACCATAAAATGTACAGTCATCCTGTGTTTATTTCTGTAGGCTTATTCAAAAATTAATATGCCAAAACACACTGATCCTGGCTGAAGCACTGCATTTCAGCTGTCAAAGTGGAAGCATTGGAAATGAAGCATCTTTAGATAAGAACAAGCGTCTTTAAATTTGTAAACACCCTGAAAACAATTTAACAATAATTTCATTGTTTATGAGTCATAACTGTCATTTATCACCAATACTTTAGTGTCTTGTAGACACTACGTTCCACCATCTTGATGTTGGAGTGTAGCATATTCAAACGCATGAAGCATTAACAAAGAACTGTCACCATTCATTTTTAAAAGGTTAGAATTAGAACTGGTCTTCAGCAACCCATGCCTGTCGTAAGAGGCGACTAAAGGGATTTGGTGGTCAGGCTTGCTGGCTTGGTTGACGCTTGTCATCGTTCCCACTTGCATAGATCGATGCTCATGCTGTTGAACATTGGATTGTCTGATCTCGATTATTTTTAGACCGCCGCCATATAGCTGGGATATTGCTGAGTGCACCATAAACAACAAACCAACCAACCAAAAATCATTATTGAATGGATTCTTGATAGCTCCTGTATTGACATTACAACTCACAATCAACAAGCTATGTTGTTTGCTTAGGGCAGGCCAGACCTACTTTTGGTTTTGCAAAGGCAAATATCTACAAATGCTGTGTTCTGAATATATTTTATTTTTTCATGTTTTTAGGCATAAGAACTTTTCAGAATATATACTATTCCTCTGCCGCTGTCCAGGCAGGTTGAGCAAGAAATCTGACAAGAAATTGGATTGGCCTGTCCTAATTGAAATATTCAAACATTCCATGGACTGGGGCCTCTTGTTGGTTGGTGCTCAGGCCCAATTATATCTGTGTTTCATTTTTCAGCCATCAAAATCAGTGTCAGGGCTTTTTAATTGTCTGTTCAAGTTTCATTCTTTAGAAACAGCCATTTGTAGTGTATCAGAGAAGTGTCGCCATTTTAAAGATAATGACTACTAAGTGATCTGATGCTTGCAGCCAAGAAATTTAAATTGCTATGTTGCACCTTTAGAAATACACTTGAAAACATTTAGAGATTGGTATTAAGATGAGGGTTGGATGGAAACAAGAAACACAGATATGTATTTGTTTTTGCCTGAAGCATGGCATGAAGGAAAAATGTTCATGTTGTCATTTCAGCAGTGTTTGGTTGGCATCTGTGTCTGACACTGGACATATGAGAGTAGTTACAAAGGTATTTCTGATCTCGTCGACTAACCAGCACTCATTTGTGTCATGCCATATGGATTGGTAAAATGTTCATATTGTCCACATCTGCTTCAAGACCATAGCTTACTCTTTGTGTGACCAGGGATGGCGGGGTAGCCTCGTGGTTAAAGCATTCACTTCCCACGCTGAAGACCTGGGTTTGATTCCCTACATGGGTACAATGTGTTAAGCCCATTTCTGGTGTCCCCCGCCAAGAAATTGCTGGAATATTGCTGAAAGCGGCGTAAAACCATACTCACTTTGTGTGACTGACATCAGCTGCAGTGTCTAACCGGAGCCACTTGGTTAAAGCATCATCTTGCGTTGATGAAGATGTTGTTGTTTCTTCACATTGGTGCAGTGTATGATGCCCATTTGGGTGTCCACTGTGATATGGCTGGAATATTGCTGAAAAAATATCACTCATTAAGAATGGTGTTGCTGTTGATAATGATTCTGATTATCGTAAGAGGCGACTAACAGGATCGGGTGGTCAGGCATGTCAACCGTGTCCCAATTGCATTGATCATTGTTCATGCTGTTGATCTCTGGATTGTCTGGTCCAGACTCGATTATTTACAGACCGCCACCATATAGCTGGAATATTGCTGACTATGGCGTAAAACTAAACTCACTCACTGTTTTTTCAGCTGGGCTATTATTTTTTTTCTCAATTTTAGCTTTTAAAAATTTGTCAGAACAGTTTGATATAAAGACTGCATTCGTTTGTAAAATATTTAACCTTGCAGTTTGGATTTTCACATGATTATGACTAGATTACTTCACAAAGAGCTGTTAATAGGTAATTTATGAGTGTCTCACGATACAACTGTATAAATGTATGATGTTTATAATTATGTTTTCGAACTTGGCTGTATCAGTCAAATGTTGAAGATATTTATATCTTTGTGTACAAATTTGTTAAAGGAAGCATGTTGACTCATGAATCAGATGTACAATTTATCATATTGTTAATGTTCTTGTTTTTGTGGGTGAGTGTAGTGAGCGAGGTCGTGAATGAGGTTTTCACCGAAGTATGAACTCAACTGAGTGTTTATGTATATGTGGTTGAGTTGGTGTATCTGAATTGTCTCAGTGTGGTTTATAAACATTGTTGGTTTCCATGGTAAAAGTTTAGCCGTAACTTTCCACAGCACTAGATAGAACCGATTTCATTCTCTCTCACTTTCCAGTTTGAGGTAGGTGTTTTGAAAATGTGATCTGGAACGACATGGGTGATCATTTTGATTTGGGAAATGATATTTCTGAATTTTGATAGCATCCTTCCTAGATATAATCACATTAGTAAATAATGAGGTACTGAAAACACAGAGCTAGATATTGTTAGGGAATTTGGCATCGAAGTGGGCAATTTTGTAGAGGGAGGATGAAACTAAGAGTGTATGAAATACACTGTGCCCCAAGTACCAGTTTTCCTGTTGAAAAAAGCAAATTGTATCTTGTGTAGGTGTGCTGGTCAAGTGGTGTCAGTTAAATCAGGTCATTTACTTTGACCTACATCATTAAACAAGACTAAAATAATTGAATGAGCCGATCACTCTTAATCCACAGTATGGCCGCCTCGCCCTGAGAATGTCTAGACATGATGGATAACCAGATGTGAATATTATATTCAAGTCGTGATTTTCTGGTTTATGACATTTGATAGCATTTGAAAATCCAGGTAGAGATTTATCTACGATTTGAAACTAAGTGCCCTTGACAGGAGAAAGGAGAAATCTGGCTTTTTTATTAAAAAATGGGAGGTTTTTCAAAATAATTCGAACCAGGCATCAACCACTGAGCAAGTCCAGATACTTTAAAAAATATGTGATTTGTAATAAAGAAAAAGGATGGAAATTAAAAACAGTATGATGTATTTCATATGTCAATAAATATTTAAGTATATCCATTATCTGAGAAAGAAATATTAAGTCACAATGTTTGACATATTTCTTTAACTGATTTGTCATTTTAAAAGTTAGAAAGTCAAGATGATATTTGAGAAATGCCATATTGTATTCTAGAGAATAGGGATTACATCCAGAAAAGGTTATTGCTATGACATTTCTAACACCCAGTTCAGGGTCATGTTGAGCACTTTTCATGTTGTGGAACATGGGCTTGTAACCTATAGTTGTGTCTCATTTCCCTTGTATTTCCAATGCACACCCCCTTTACTTTATCCCAGGATACACAATCACTTCAGTTCTTAGGTGTGTGCTATATACATAATGTAATGGTTACAATAGATGGTAGACAAAAATTGATGAGATGACGTTTTCTCTAGTATGGTGTTTTTTGCTCATGAAAGGGTGTCAATAATTTGTGTCTTAATAATAAAGTTAAAACATGGATGGCGAACATTTTGGGACAAATGTAAATATGGAGTTTTCATCCAGCACAACCTTTTTTATGACAACAACCTTTTTTTCAAATGCTTCAAACTTAATAAACACAATGGTCAACATTGTCATGACAACAACTCTCGCCTCGCATGCACATAAGTTGAATTCAGGTTCAAATTGAGAATTGCTACAATTCAGTTTAATTTTGTTATATTTAAAATAACTTTTTGATTTAAAAAGAAATGCTCGAGAGTAGAATTGTACAAACAGTATCGATTCGTTTGTTTTAAAAAATGATGCAACTTTTTTCCAGAGCATGGTCTTAACTTTTGACATTGTGTGCCATGGATTATTTTCAAGTGAATCAACACAATCCGATCTTTTCCCTATGTAAAAGATTATTTGTACTTACAACATGGACAATTGGTCATTTTATTTCCCACAGATTTGCGAAGATTTTCGATGCAATCAAAATCGAATGATTCTACGACGTTTCCGATACTGTTAGAGTTATGTCCCTTAGACCAAGCAAGGCCACTTTGAAGGGCGGTTCATGAAGTTCAGCCTCGTACTGTTTGTAGGTGTAACGTGATTGGCACTTGTGTCTATATAATTTGCGACCCATAGACGTTTATACAAACTTGATGATTAAGAGAATATAAAAAATTTGCTTTCGATTTTTGAATTTGCTTTCGATGAATATTTTGTTTTCTGACGTCAGAACCTCTTGCAGTTGTTGTCTACCGATGGAAATATTGTCACAAAGTTGTATTTGAACGGGAGTACCATATTTGCCAAATAGATGTAACGACATAAGGGCAATAGACATGTTTTGTTATTACAGTAATACTGATTTTTAAACATTGAGTTATTGTCACAAGTTAAATAACAATTTCAAGTTAAAAATGTGGGTATCCAGCTGTTTAACGACATGGTCAGACAAGAAATTGTCACAACTCTTTGGTTAGCTAGATGTGACATTTTAATGTGGTTATAATTTATATCTTATTTTGTGAAATTAGTACCGTTTGTATCAAATATCATTATAGAGGAGATGCGCACCTACAGACAAGCATTCCAGCCACGCATTTCCTTCACCTGTTGTATCTAGATAAGTTACAGAAATCATGCTGACATATTGACACGTCACTGTACGTTGACAAGTACCGTACGAGGCAAATATAAGTGCCATTCTGTTTCAGTTGTTTGAGGCTGAAGACCCCACGTGATCAGTTGAATTGTAAATATTGTTTCATGTTCCGTGATTTTACCATTGTTGTGAGAAATAAAGTGCTATTAATGAAACGTTATTTTTGTTTTGTTTTATTTTGATTTGTGTTTGGATATATAATGATCATTTCTAGATGGGTCTGTATCAGAATTCTCCGGCGTGAATATTCGACTTTTTAGAAACTGGCGAGTTCCAATTTAATGCGGCCAGTTGTTGCCAGGTCGTCTATGGCACCGCAGTTCACCACAGTTTTGGACCCCTGAAGATCCGGGTCAGAATTGATCTTCAGTAACCCATGCTTGTCGTAAGAGGAATCGGGTGGTCAGGCTCGCTGACTTGGCTGGCACGTGTCATCGTATCCCAATTGCGCAGATCGATGCTCATGCTGTTGATCACTGGATTGTCTGGTCCAGACTCTTATTATTTACAGATCGCCGCCATATAGCTGGAATATTGCTGAGTGTGGCTTAAAAGCGTAACTCACTCACTCACTTGAATAGTTTGATTCGTGACAGAAAAATATAGGCCCACTTTATCGCCCGTGTGTTAATTTGTAAATGATATTGTATTGCTAAAATATGTATAT